GATATATATATATGAACTGCTTTAATTAACCGTGGTTGAGTCGAATATTAACCGTGGTTAGGTTATGAAAATCTTTACTCTATCCATAAGACCCGTACGGTTAAACTATAATAAAACGCCAACGAGATATTTTTTGATTCGCAGCGTCACAGACCAATCTGTACCGTTGATTTCGAAATCGAGTCAAGCTCCCGAGGATTTTGTGTGACAGCCACGTCAGACTATCAACTCACGGATAAAGACAGATTTTGACGTGGCGGTTGACACTTATCTCGGTCCTAGAAAGTAGAAAAAAGCAATGTGGTTCTCGTGAGTTAAACCAAACCGAACCATACTTTTTTTCCCAATTAATAAGTGCAATTTGAATATGTGAAGAAGGCTTGGTCCCATGTTGCAATATCGAATCCGAGATCCACTTGATTGTTACTCTTCCCATTTGTTTTCTTATTGTTTGGAACAAAACAAAGGTTATCCATTAAGGAGAACTTATCCCCACGTAGGATGCTCGCAGCCAAAGATTTGTACTATTAGACACATAATTGTCACTAATCACACCATAACAATCATTTGTTTAATGGTGTGATTAGTGACAATCATAAACAAATGATTGAAGAGGATTGACCTCTTATCGGATAGGTTTGGGAAATCCTCTACAATCTCACCAAAGTTTAATTCTCCATTTGATTTGGAAAATTATTTACTTTTTGACCAAAATTAGTTCTTTAACAAAATTATTTACCTTTTGACTAAATCTAAATTTATGTTTCACAAACAAAATTTTGATACAAAAAATCGATTATTGCATGAGATTGCACCTCTCACCATAAGTACGATAGTCCCAATGTTTTTATTATTTGACAAAAATAATTCTAGTATTCAGTTTATAATTAGCATATTCAATTGATGAAAAGTATAACTTAAATTTCATAAAAGTAAAACAATTACATATTTATTTATCTCATGCAAAGCATGGACCTTAAAACTAGTAAAGAAGTAACAATAGAAGATTGGTTAGTTAAAGAAACAAAATTAAAGAAGAACAAAATCGTATTGAAACTAACTAGGAATAAGTAACAATTCATATAGTATAATTCAAAAAGGTGAGAACAATACAACAAGAACATACGTAGGATATAATAATCAAACATAATTGTCAAGAAAGCTTAGTAGTTGTAAAGGGTTTTCTTATTCATCAAGTTGTGAGGATTGCATTTTATATATGAGATTACATAGACCTAATTATAGTTATAAGGCTATGTTTACAATGAGCCTAATCAGATGGCCTAATA